AGAGAGAGAGAGAGAGAGAGAGGGGGGAAGGACGAGGTTTATATAAGATCTCGAATGAATGCGGCGAAACATGGGGGGAGAAAAAGGAAGAGGAATAAAAGAAAGGAATTCACAGTCCAGAAATTATGATATAACCGCGTGAAAAGTGGAAAATCGTGTGAAGAGTTGACCGACGAAATCGAGGAGGGGCAAAATATAAAGAAAGATGATCCCGTTGTTGGGAAATGGAGGACAGCAAACAGACAACGTCTATCATCGCTCTCGCGATAAAATAAACGCGGTGAAATAAAAAGGTAGAGAGGAATTTGAAACGGTTCGGGATGAATAAAAGATGGCGGTGGCTAACGACAAGGCGAAACGAGGGAGAGGAAGGGGAGAGCGAGCGAGATTTTGAGTTGGAAAAGGGGGTGGAAAGAAAAGGGCGAGGCAAAATCGAATAACGCACGAATGCGTGTAAATGGAAACAAACGAATGCGGTGGATGCGCGGATGGAAAGAAAAAAGAGAAAAGAAAAGGGAAAAAAAGTAGTAGGATATCGTTTGTGCGTATCTTTGCGCGCGGATAAACGGGAGAAAAAGCGGTCGAGAAAGAAAAGGGAATCGTAGAAAGGGGAGAAGAGGAGGGATGGCGAAATAAGAAAACAAAAGGCCGAGATGGAACGAGCTTGAGAAGGAGGAATAAGAGAGTGTGTCGGGCCGAGAAGTCTAGAGAAAGAGAGAGAGAGAGAGAGAGAGAGGAATGGAATTTATCAGTCTGAAACGAAATGAAAGAAAGCACAATGCGAGAATAGTAGGCGGGTGGGGTGGAAAGCGAAAAGCTTAAAGATAACAAGAAGGGGGGGAGGGAAAGAGCAGGGGTTCCCAAATTCTGTTCGAGCTTTTGAAAAGGTACGGAAGAAATATCCGTACGTTTGTGACGTCGAAACGGAGAGATGAGAATGACTGATTCGAAGATTTTTTAATTATGGAATGTCTTGGGATAAGCATCTTTCATCCGCGAAAGAAGAAAAGATTCGTTTTCGTATCTTTTCAATGAATTTTCCATTTTGATGTAAAACAGTCTTCGGAAAAATGAAAAGGAACGGTGGATAATGCTGCTAATTATCACCGATTAAAATATTTTTAATACATATAATGATTGAACAGATGTGTCAATGTGAGTTCCAATTGAAATTTTCTGGAACGGAATAAATATTTACACGCGTCCCACTGTGTACGCGACAATTTTGCGACGAAATAAGTAAGCGCGAGTCCAGATCGAGGAAATACAAGCGGAAGCATGGCTTAATTTTAACAACGCTACTCGATGAAGATAATTAGTCGATGGAGAAGATCCATCGAGCAGATTGAAACCGTTTATTCGTGACGCATCGTTTCAAGATGCATTTGCGGGAGGAATTTTCCATTTCCGTTGACATCGTCCGGTCGATTCGAAGGCGGGAAATTTGAAACGAGAAAAATGTCCGTCAAAGGGGAGGCGAAGGTACGAATGTGGTGATAATGAAATTTTATCGCGAGATCTACGAATGTTTTGCGGATTTTTTGCTCCTCCTTTGATTCGTTTCAAGGGGATTTGAAGAGCTTCGAAATGCCACTCGTTACGTAATCTGATTAAAGGCTTGGGAAGCGTTACGTGCCGAGCCTTCGGCGTTAATAACTATTATCGATGTTCCACGTTGACGAAATATTGTTCACGAATGGTGGAATAAGGTGGAACAAATTGTTCAAGATTCGCCATTTTCGTTCCTTTTTCTATATACTCGTCGTTGAGAGCGAAATATCCGACGATTGATTTTAAACTTTGTTAAGTCAAA